ACCAGAATGTGACACAAGAGCAGGAAATGAGTCACGCCGGCAGGGCAGCTGCTCCCAGGCATTTGCATAGAAAGAAACCCCACCAAGCAGGGAACTGCACCGGCCCTTGTCCGGCCCCCCCTGCTCCAGCCCCACAGCTGCCGGACCCACTGCCGCACTCACTGGCACCCACGGGCATCCCGAGCTCAGCCCAAGGTGGTGAGCCCTGGAGCATCATCCCTGCTCCATGGCTGGMTGGCTGTGCTCCCCTGGATTTGGCCATTTAACCTCAGACTGGGCTGTTCCACCCTGGATTTGGCTCGAAGCAAAGCAGAGCCCCCCTCCATCACCCCACCAYGCARCCCCCCCGGCCAGCTCACAGCATCYKCTTTGGCCCCCGCTTTAGGCTCAGGGAGGAAGGGAGAAAGCCCAGCATTTTTGCCCCAAGAGGAGCCCCGGTTGCACACCCATTGCACAAGGGTAAAGCTCTCCCACAGGAGCCAACAAGGGCATCACCATCCCTGCATCCAGCACACCATCCCAGCCCTGTTCCCAGCTGCCAGTGTCAGATGTGGGTGTCACTGGATCCCATTGCCTGGGGGGCTGGGAAGGAACCTGCTTTGTGTGCTGTGGAAAACTGGCTGCACACCCTGTTTCTGGTCCTTTTTATTCGTGTCAGAGAACAGGAGGCTTCCCCTGCAGATGCATYGCACACACACGTGTATTTTCCCCAACAGGTACTGGCCTGGGAGGGTGCCACAGCAGGCAGGTGACAGTGTGGGAGGGACAACTGTGACTCCATGGGATGGCTGGGCACAAGTGGTGCATGTTGGTGCGGCCTGGGCTGGGTCAGCAGGTGACCATGGGGACCTCTGTGTTGTGCCTCTTCCAYGGGGCTGTTTTCCTCCTCCACCCCAGCCAGGAACAGGGCATGGCCATAAGCAAACAGATTTAGTGTTGGAAAGCAGGCTGTTGCCACCCTGCAAGTTCCATACATCCTTAAACCCAGTTTTAAAACTTCAGGGAAAGCCTTCATCGTGTTAAACACATGGAGAARGGTAGAGGGAGCTTTTTTCATCACRCTAAAGCCACCTCATGAGGCTGACATGAAAGGGGACAGAAGGGGAGTGATGGGTTTTCTCTGATTGGTTAATTGAGTTATAAATGACCCAAGAAACACAGCACTTTGTATCACTTCCAGAGATCTCAAGGCTTCTGATGAAGGTGCAGGGCTGGGTGCCAGAGCCTTCAGGGGTGTTCCCTAGAGAGGGTGGTGGCAGACGGGGCTGSTGTCACTTTAACAGCCAACTGCTCTGTAAATCTCTGCAAACACCCTCCCTCTACCATCAGTTCAGAGGGGTCCGAAGCCCTAAACACCCAAATGAGCTTGGTACCTCAGCTCTGTGAAGCAGCCAAATTTATCCCCGCTCCCAGGGACATCGTCTGTACCAGGCAACACTACCTCAATTCCAGATGCTAGTGATGAGTGCCTGAGCATCCTGGCTCTGCAGGGTGTACCTGCAATCCAGTCAGTGCTCACTGAGGGCTCAGCAGAGATGCTGATAATTTACTGGGGAGGCTGAGGGAAGGCAGTGGTCTTTCCAGGGCAGGCTAAGGGCTGCTGATGGGAGACTGCTGGCAAAGGGGAATGATGGCCTGGTAGTGGCTGGGGAAAATGAGGCTTGCAGGGGTTGAGAGATGTACACCAGGACTCATCTACAAACCACCTCTGCGGCCCCTTGGTGTGGGTTGTGACAYCCACACCAAGATCCTGGCAGAGGGAAGACTGAAGCATGGGCAGGTTTTCTGCAGCTTGCCCTGCTGGTGTTCATCAGCCACGCAGCACTGTCAGGAAGGGGTTTGGGAGCTGTGTAGGCAGAGGGGGCCCTGTCTACAGCCTTCCTCCAGGGAGCTTCTGCTGGTTGTGGAAGGGCTGCAATGCCCAGCCTGGCTTTGGGGCTTCCCTTGCTAAGGGAGCTTCTCTGGCATAGGCAGGGAGATGGCATCATCCAGATGTGGGTATGATGACAGCTGGGCTAGTGCCAGTCCCAGGACAGAGGGATTCCTAGCCAAGGGTAGGGTGCATCTTTCAGCTTTGCTCAGCCCCACCCCATCCACCTTCCATTTTTRAGTACTGGTAAATACCAACGAGCTTCCCCAGTGCAGCTTCAGTGGGAGTACAGCGGGGCTGAGAAGTCCCCGCAGAAGATCCCTGCACTGGCCAGGGTGGGGATGGTGGCTGTCACTGAAGGCTGTCTGGTACTGCGTGTTTATAAAGTGAGAGTCATGAATAGTTTTGCGCTGACTTTTTGAGGAGAGGTTTGCCTCCACACAGGCTCCGCCAGTCAACTGCGGTTCTGACACATTTCATGCTGCCCTGCCCAGCTCCCACCAGTCCTGGCTGCCGGATGGCTTGTAAAACCCTGGAGGAGAGGTACAGCCCATGGGCTTTGAGGCCTGGCAGAGGAATTACACAGCAAACCTCTCCCTTTTCAGGAATTGGCAGTCGAGCCCCAGGAGCTCTGGAATGCGTATGCAGGAATGGAGGGGAAGCCGAGGGGTGTCACAGGGTGAGCAGGAGCCATCACTGTCTCCTTACCAGAGTGTCTCTTGGCAGGACCTATGCACAGGAGATTCCTGTAAAACACAGCGTGGAAAGACCTGGATAATCCTCATACTGGGAGTGGTGTGGAATGCTCATCCCTCTAGCAGGCTGCCCCAGGTGGTCTGAGGCACCGGSGATATAGGGTGCTATAGTCGACACTACTGGGTGGTGTCTCCAGACGTTTTRGTCGGTGGCTTTGAGGCTGCAGGTGGGGAATTCCTGCTAAATCCCTCCCAGAGGCAAATTGCCATCAGAGATCGTCACCAGGTCAGGTTTGGGCCAGATCCTGAAGCCCTGACTGAGCCTTTGCCCTCTTGTCACTCCACCATAAACCTGACTGTGGACCCTGAGCATTTTTTGGTGTAAATACTTTGTTTTCAGCCATTTTTGACACTCTTGTGAGTGGGAAATGGATTTACACCAGCAATGTGGTTTATTCCCAGCGGTCTGGCACATATGGCAGGGGTTAGATATACMGTGTCCCACGAAACAGCTGCGGAAACATTTGGTGGGAGAGCTGTTAACAGAGACACCTCTGTGCCCTGAGCTCCGGCGGAAGGTGCTGGGGCTGCCGGTTCGGGAAGGATCCTGGGGGACAAACGGCTGTTGCTCTGCWCAAGGGGGAAACACACCAAAAATGGTCCTGTGCGAAGTAACAGCCCATCTACAAGCCAGATAAGAGGGCACAGGAGGCTCCCGAGGGCACTTATCACAGAATATTCTGAGTTTGAAGGGTCCAASTCTTGGCCTGCACAGGAATCCTCAAGGATTATACATCTGTGCCTGAGAGTGTTGTACAAATGCTTCTTGAACTCAACCAGTCTTGGTAGTGTGACCACTTCTTTGGGGAGCCTGTRCCAGTACCCACCACAACCTTTTTCTAATATCCACCCTCAACTCTCCCTGACACTTCAGGCCATTTCTTCGGGTCCTGCCACTGACTGCCAGAGAGAAGAGATCAGTGCCTGCCTCTCCATTTCCCCTGTCGAGGAAGTTGCATATAACGATGAGGATGGTACCCAGCGCCAGCTGTGACCCAGATGTGTTGCTGGTTCCAGGGCAATCAGCCTTTTTWCGGACTGGCAGCGCTGGCCGTGTAAGGTTGCCGGTGGCCAGGCAGGATGGCCCTAGGGCCGAGGCAGTGGCCAGACGGGACACCCCGAGCCCGGGTCGCTCGCAGGCAGCGGCGCAGATGGGCGCCGGGCCCCACCGGCAGCCGTGTCCCCTTTACGGCGGCGCGGCCGCGGGGCGGGGCGCGGGCGG